AAAAAAAAAAAAAAAAAACAAAAAAAAAAAAAGGGGGGGGGGGGAAGACACAACAATCACAATTCCTTGAACTTGTTAAGACAAGTGAACAGATATGATGTGGGGGTGGGGGGAGAGGGGGAGGGAAAGAATGATGGGTAAAGGGTCAAAAAAATCCACTACAATGGATATTGAGAAGCTAAAAAAAGAAAAAATCCAAGGTATCACTGTAATCATGGGTATGAGAGATGTGTAACACTGATCACAAAATTGTGTATTGTGTAAGTCTCATAAAATTAAAGAACTGGCTCATAGAAATTATATTCTTTTATCACAAGATAATCAAATTATTAATCAGTATATAAAAGAACTAATTGTCCACATACACTTGAAAATAGCAAAACATATAAGTAATCCATGGGCCAGAGAACAAACCAGAGCTGAATTTAGAAACAGGCTCTTGTTCAGTAGCACTTGGCATTAATTAATAATAGATATGATGAAGTTTAAGAATAGTGGAGTCATTAAGGGAATTAGACATTTGAATAAAAATAACTTACACCAAGAGGTAATATGCAGCCAGAGCCTCGTGAAGGATCATGGTTAATAATTGCTAGGTTCAGGGCTTTAAAAAGAGATAGTTTTTCTTTTAAAAATTGGTATTTTTTCTGATGATTAAAGTGATACAATCAGATACCTGAAAAGAAAGGTAATTATAAGTACGTGAAAATTGAATGTTGTGTATAACAACCCAAAATTGCCCTAAATAAGATTGTTATATTCCAGATAACAAACTTGGAAACATTTGTAACAGATATGATGAGAAAGGCAGTAACAAATTTGGGCAATGGGCATGGAAAGGTTATTCACAAAGCAACAAATAGAAATAGCTAATAAATATTTGAAAAGATATTCAACATTGAATGTCATTACTGGGTAGGGAAGGGAAGCAACAAAGAAATAACATTTTTCATGTCAGAATGGCAAGGATAAAAGATTTAAAAACTCACACACATGGGTTTGCATACATAGGATTTATCCAGATATTTTCTCCATTTTTCAGTGTCATTCAACTTCACTTATGGTCTTTCTCTCTCGCTTGCTCTCTTTTTTTGCTTTTGTTCCATGCACANAGTTTTAGTCACCATTTTGCTAACTCTGTTTTCAGCAGATCTCTTCACATCTCAGGTCATCCTAGGTGCCCTCATCTCTAAAAATGAGAGAAGGGATGGCCATTGAACTTCATTTAACAATGACAAACGTACCATAATTGCTATCACATCCCTCTTCTGCAGCCATGGCAGACATTAGTCACCGGTCTTAGTGTTCTTTCTCTGAGATCAGTCATACCTTAGAATTCTTCTCAACACACTGTTTGAGGCCACCATTTCTAAACAGGTTGTACTTTGCACCTGAAACTTCTTTGCCATCCTTGGATAAAATAATCTTAGACGTCCTGTGACCTAAAAGACTTTTCTCATCAAGGAACAAAGTTATTGTGGTAAGAAATAACAGGGAATGCCTTTCAGAAAATAATAATAATAATAATAATAATAATAATTTTTTAGTAGCCACATTAAAAAAAATCAGTGAAAAGGTAAAAATAGAGAAAATAAATTTTGACAATATATTTTATTAAATAAAATAAATTGGAGTTTTAGTCACCATTTTGCTAACTCTGTTTTCAGCAGATCTCTTCACATCTCAGGTCATCTTAGGTGCCCTCATCTCTAAAAATGAGAGAAGGGATGGGCATTGAACTTCATTTAACAATGACAAACATACCTTAATTGCTGTCACATCCCTCTTCTGCAGCCATGGCAGACATTAGTCATCAGTCTTAGTGTTCTTTCTCTGAGATCAGTCATACCTTAGAATTCTTCTCAACACACTGTTTGAGGCCACCATTTCTAAACAGGTTGTACTTTGTACCTGAAACTTCTTTGCCATCCTTGGATAAAATAATCTTAGACGTCCTGTGACCTAAAAGACTTTACTCATCAAGGAACAAAGTTATTGTGGTAAGAAATAACAGGGAATGCCTTTCAGAAAATAATAATAATAATAATAATTTTTCAGTAGCCACATTAAAAAAAATCAGTGAAAAGGTAAAAATAGAGGAAATAAATTTTGACAATATATTTTATTAAATAAAATATATCAACATGTAATTGATATAAAGCAATTATTAGTGGAATATTTTACCTTCTTTTTCTTTTCATACAAAATCTGTGAAATCCAGTATGTGTTTATTATAGCAATCCCATTTTAGATAACAAATTTTCGTTGGAAATACTTGGTCTGTGTTTTATTTTACAGTTTGAAAAGCAGATTCTCATACCCACATTCTTAAGTTTTCTAATAATTGAACTGAGTACTAGTTTTTAAATTTAATTAAAGTTGAATAAAATTAAAAGTTGAGATGAGGTCACACGACCACGTTTCAAGTGCCCAGTAGCCACAGATTACTGTTGGCTACCACATTGGTTAGCAGATGTTTGGAGAATACAAAGAAATACACGGTTTCAGTTTAGCCTTCAAGGAGATTTTCAAGTTGGGACAGCAAGATATCAAAAATAAACATATCAAGAATATAATCCAAAACAATAGGATTAAGTACTAAAAGTTTGCCATGGGCTTCAAGGAGATTTTCAAGTTGGGACAGCAAGATATCAAAAATAAACATATCAAGAATATAACCCAAAACAATAGGATTAAGTACTAAAAGTTTGCCATGGTCCGACTAAGTCGTACTTGGGTTGGAAGTTCCAGAAACACCCACAGCTGGATACATTCTTCACCACTTTGAAGTCTGAGTGGTGGCAATGACGTGTTGAGTTGGTGAGAATGGAGTATGTTACTTTAGAAAGTGTGTGTGTTCTGCCTGCAGGCATGGGACCCGCTGTGCTGGAGAAGTGGCAGCTGCTGCAAACAACTCTCACTGCACAGTCGGAATTGCTTTCAACGCCAGGATCGGAGGTATGGGAAACAAACTTACATGGATATAGAAATGAGCGAGTTAGCTCTTGGTAACTAGTTTTCAGAACTCTTTTTAACCAAACATAGGCATATCTTTGCATAACAGTGTTCATCTTTTGCTGACAGCAAAATGACCATGTTGACATGTGTCATTAAATAGAGTTATAAAGACTTCTAGAAAAAGCAATATCCCTAAAGTGTTGCAAACATACTCTTTTAAAGCAGGCTTGAAAGAATGTTATCTAGTAGTGAAGATAAACTCATTGACATCTGTACCAAAACTATACTATTGGTGCCTGGGCCAGAAAGAGCTAATAATATAGACATCAGGGAATGATATCTCTGTGGAAAGAAGCACTTTGAATTTTTCTCAAACCAGAAAATCCTTTTTTAAATTTTGTTTAGGCTTTACAAAAAGTTTCTTTTAATTGTAATAAAAATGTTAAATTCTCCTTTTGTGGTCCTATAATGTAGTGATATGGCCTCCATGAATAATTCCATATTATTTTTATACATATACACATATATATACCAACTCAAATATACCTGTGTTTACTATAAAGACCCAGCCAAAGCAGGATAAATATAAGCATTGATAAAAGCAAATGCTAACTTTCCCATTTTTAATCATCTTTGTAAGCAACAGCCTGGTGCCACCGCAAACTCAAATGGGAGGAAAACGTCGTAAACGATTTTCGTGATCCTACTGACTTTTCATTATTCCTGGCCTGAAAGGTGTTCCTTAGGGGTCTCCTAAACAATGTCATAAGATGAATGAAGCTTCTGAAACCAGGCTGACCTCCTTGTTTCCAATGAACTATTTGTCTCCAAGTGCTAAACAGAATTAGAACTGAAAAATTAAAATGACCATTTTAGGATAAGTGTATAATATAGAGGTCCTATAATGTGAAATATTTAAGGTATATGAGTATAATAATGGTGCTGAAAAAAGGTTTTCTGAAACTACCTCAAATGTCAGTCCACAGTAAATTTTTTCCTTTTTCTTTCCTGTATTTCACTTTGAATTCTTAGAATACAACAGTTTGTTAACCAGTAATTAGCTGTACACAAGGGGCATATGCTATGTGTCAAGGGCAATGCACACGGACCAGCTAAGGAAAGGAGACCAAGGCTTTTCCCTGAGGAATGCTGAGAGAGCTGCAGGTCCCTGCTCTTCCAAGGAGAATTGGATCAGCAGCTGCCCAGTCACCCTCCTCACCGTCCAGGGCAGCTTCTCTCACGCACAGATGCACAGCCCAGCTCCCCATCAGCACCGTCCTGCACAAACCCAGTGGAAGGAGGGAATAACTTGAGAACTCACAGATAAACTGCTGACCTCGCTTAACACTACCTTAGTAAAACAATAAATAAAATAAATGCATGGAGATGACCCCAAAATGTTCTCAAACAAGAACATTCTGAACTATAAATTTAACCCCAGACCCCAGGCATGAAGGCTTGCAGTTAGATGAAGGGAAAGAAGCAGCCGTGATGAAATGAAATTGTTATTTGTGATTTTTCAGTCAGAAAATTAGTGTTACCCTCTAGGTATGATTTGGCAAGCATTTTTTTTTTTTTTTTGTGGACTTCACATGAACTGCATGACGTATGAGCTAAATTCAGATGTTGTATGGATACTCTCGTATTGGCATTCAGATACACTGGTGAGATTATTTGGGGCAGTTATAGTGTTTTTTTCAGATCTCACTGAAGGTAGAATAGTTTTACTTTATGCTGTTAAACAGAAAGTGAGAAGATGAAGTAGTTCATCTTTGCTAAAAAACATGCAGATGAAGTTTGACGATTCATATTAAATTAAAACAAACCAGTGGTTTCTCAGGACCACCTACATACAAAGCATTGTGCTGGGTTTTCTACTCTCTCAAAATAAAAACCACTGACAGACTTTCTAAGTACAATTTCCATTCCATAATTTTTATTTTATTTCTTAATTTTTATTTTTTTATTTTGGTGGCTGGCCGGTACAGGGACCTGAACCCTTGACTGACCTTGGTGTTTCCAATACCGTGCTCTAATCAACTGCGCTAATTGACCTTCCCTTTTTCATAACTTTTAAAGGGATTTCTTCATGACTTCATTCTCCACATCACCCATTAACATACAAAATCCCAAAGTGTAGAGGAATAAAGACACTCAAGAGACACAACAACCAAATGCAATGTCTTTAGTAATACTTGGGGGAATTTTAATGTTGTCTGGGTGTTAGATGACAGTAGGGACTTATTTTCATATGTTTTTGTAAAAAAATATTAAAGGATGAAGTGTCATATCTGTCATGGAATTTAAAATAGTTCAACCTAATATATTTTTAGATAAAGAAAATGAGATAAAATGTTAACAGTGGCAGTATTCGTGATTTTGTTCATTCTATTTTTTTGTTTGATTTTTGCAAGTTTCATGGTTAAACATTTTTTTGAAAAAAAAAGAAGATATAGTTCCCTTAAGAATATTTTTATTTTCTACCAGTATTCTCACCTCAATCTGCATAGTATCTAAAGCTGCCCGATTTGGGGTTTTATTATTTAGTCTCCATTTATGGATAACCAATAAAAACTTGAAATTCAACAGGAGAATGAGGTTTTCCTGAGGAGTAAATTTGGACTGTAAGATATAATTTTAAAATAATACAATGTCTCAGTGTTGGTATTTAGTTTAAGCTGAAAAAGAGGTTTATTTACTTAACAATTACCTGTTTTGTTGTTGTTGCAAGACTCCAAAATAAAAGGAAAAAAGGAAAGCCTGCCATTTGGTATATAATTTATTTCTAAATATCTTAGTTTCTATTTTTGCAAAATAGGGTTAATAATAAATTCTTATCTGTCTGTTAAGAATATACTTAAATGAAGATTAATGACTAAACATTGCTAAAACCCTTTGAGAATTATTTAAAGTATTATATACACCAAGAGCATTCTCATTTATTATTTGACTTATAAATAACACAGCAAAAGAGAAATCTATTAAGTTCACATCAGTCTTACAGATTAGGGGATAACATTAAATATAGAGGAAATGAGACCAACGTAACTTGGCAGCTGTCCACATGTTATAAGATTGCTAAGGTTAGATGTTTTATACCAATTATGAGCACAAGTTATTCGGTGAAGAGAAACGTAGGGGAGATGGATTGCTTGGGCCTCTCTTTGCCAAGTGCTTAACAGAAAAGGGAGATTGTGGCAGCTGTCGCAGGGGTTGGAAACTTGGAAAAAGAAAACAATAGATTAAAAGGACTTTTAAAATGTTTTGCTCTTTTACACACAGTGTAACTTCCTTTCTCCCCAAGATAGCCTCAGCAAAGTCTACATTATCCTTTCACTGGGGAAAATATGCTCACTTAGGGGATGATTAAAAATGTCTCCTCCCCCCACCCCAGTCCTGTAATGGGTTTATTTGGGTGTCGTGGCCTGAAGCCTCTGTAATGAGCTGGTTCTCCTTTCTGTGTTGAAGGAGTGCGAATGTTGGATGGAGATGTCACGGACATGGTGGAAGCGAAGTCGGTCAGCTTCAATCCCCAGCATGTGCACATTTACAGCGCCAGCTGGGGCCCAGATGATGACGGCAAGACTGTGGATGGACCAGCCCCCCTCACCCGGCAAGCCTTTGAAAATGGTGTTAGAATGGTAGGTTTCCCAGCACGTGGGCTCATACTGTGTCCTGGAGATGACTCTCATGAAGAATCTGTGGGTTTCCAGTCCTCTAAACTAGAGGACTGGATGGAGCTCGTATGCTGAGCCAGTAGATAGACTAATGGAAAGAGGTGTTGAACATTGGGGATTGTGAATTACTTCTGCACTGCCAATGAACTAAAAGCTACAGAGTTTTCTCTGAGGAGGACAGAGGTGTGTATGGATGTGCGGGTTCATGAATTAATACGTTAATCTTGCATTTGGAGAAGGGATTCTTGAGACTGAGAGATTGAGGGGTGATATTAACACCCTCTGGTTGGTGTTGATAGATCAGCCAACAATGTCCTTCTGGGAAGCTCCCTTTTGGAGTCCCTTCCTTAGTCTCACCTCTGTCCCAGAACAGTATTATTTTTATACTGGCTCCCAGTCTCCCTAACCACATACCTTACCATGTCGCTTTTCTTGATTTTGCTGAAAAATTCACTGATCACTCTCCCCCCCAAAAATAAGTGCTCATAGCTATGAAAGGAGGAGGGTTCCACCAGAAGCAACGTCTTCCTCTTTCTTACTCGTGAATGGACCTTTGGTGATTTAAACATACATTTCATCATGTTCATTTAAGGCCGTCATTGATCTGGCCCTAACGTCCCTTTCCTACCTCATTTCTTTTTACTCCTCTGTAGTGTAAGCATTCTCCACTCCTGCTGTCCATCAGCACACACTGCTTTCCCCGTGATCCCTGCTCTTCTTACGCAGCACCGTGCCCCACCCCAACTCCTATCACTACTGGCCAAATCCTGTGTGACCTTCAAGCTTCCACTGAAAGTTCCTTCTTTGCAGAAGCCTTCTCACTGCCCAAATCAGAATGAACTGTGACCAGTCCCTACCTTGTGTTCCCTGTGCCTTATGTTCTTCCTGGTGTTCCACACAGTCCCCATCCTATCGTGCTTTATATCAGAGTCAGTTCTGGGTGCATCTTCCTCACTAAATTGTAAATTCCTGGAGAGCAGAATTTGTGCTCTACACATCTTTATGGGCTTTGCAAAACAGAGGCAATGCGTTGAATTCTAGTAAGTACTCAATAAATGTTTATTAAATTGAACTTAATTTACTACGAGTGATGCTAACCACAGGTTTGTTATATATTCGGCCCACATTTGGAAGAGTGGAATGCATTCAGTTGATTAATGTGACATCGCAGCTGGAGTAAAAATAATAATGATTCTCCCACATCTTTGTGGGATTGGTGTTAGGGTTTTAAGAGAAGACTGAGCTAAGCTGCCTCCTGGTTATTCTGAAATCGACTAAAGGAGAAAATTATATACTTGTTTTGTGGGCACTTCCTAACTCAATAGTAGTTCAGATTTGTTTAAGACATTCAGTTCTCTAGCTCTGTCAATTTTCAGGTGAATTAAACCCCTTTTAAACCATAGGATGAAGTTTTAACTCATTGCCTAGAATTTTCCTTTCAAGGTGCCTTAATACCAAATGAATATATTATAGGTAATCTGGTGATTTTATTACCAAAGATGTGGAGTGCAATTATTATTCTCTCTATGCCATCAATAGAATGGTCAAGCTTAGTTCATATTTAATCTTCAAATATAATGAAATAATCTTATGTGCATGGCTCTTATAATAACAAGCCATCTGGAATTCCTCATTAACATGAAAATACTCATACAATATTAGTAATGCACATAGCCTCTTGAATATACATGTACATATAAAGAATACAGGTATTCAATAGCTGTTTTTACTAACAGACTAGTCATTGAACCAATGCTGTCAAATATATTGTTGCTGGGGAATCTTTTGTTCAATGGCAATCTTAACAAAAAGCTTAATGTTGAAAACAAAACAAAACAAAAAATGTGTTTTTGTTGAAAGAATGTAGAAAGGTTGAGATTAGAGAAAACTGTTCAAACACATTATATTTAGAAATAAATAATTTGGAAAAATATACTGTCTACTCATTATTACTTACAAAAGTAATATGTTTATTATAACACATCGTACACAAAAATGTATACATATGAAATTAATAATAGATTTTCTCACCCAATGAGGTAACCATTTTTAAGAGTATAAACTACATCTTTCCATACTCTTGTGCACAATAACGTGCCAAACAGGGATCATGTACCTCTGCACATGGCTGCTTTCACCTAACTGTCTGCCATGGGCATCCTTCCAGGGCAACCCATAAGGATAGAACTCATTCATTTTCTTTGTTTCAAAATTTTTGGAGTACAGAGATACCATCATTTATTCAACATTCCACCAAGGACCTTGCAAGGTTTTAATCTGGAAAAAAGAGTTTAGTTTTAAAACGAACCATTTACTTTTAGGATTGAGGTAATAACAAAATAACTCTGTAAAATAATGAATTATTTTCTGGCTTCTAGCATTGCATATCTAAGTATGGAAAAACAGTGGTGACACATTTAAATGTGATAATATCTACAGGATAGTGTTCCATGGTTTTAATACACATAGGCTTTCGAATTAAGCTAGGGCTGAGTCTAATGTAAGTCATTTACTTTTCTCTGACCTTAGGTAGAGCAAATTACTTCTTTGCTCCATCTTCTCATGTGAAATAGGGCAATAATAGTATTCACTTACAGAGGTGTTATGAGTGTCACATGAGTTGATAATGCATATCAAACAATTAGCATAGTACCTAAAACATAATAAATGTTCAATAAATTCATTTTTTTCAGAGAAATTATGTCTTTCCAAAAAATTTGTTTAAATTTGTCCTCAGTCTCTCATCCTTCTTTCCTTTATCATTTCCACACTACAGAATTCTAAATGATTCCATTGAGTTACTTGTTGGGGGAGATTAAAAATAATATGGTACAAGTCAGTGTAGACTTTCTGAGCTCTGTAGTGTCATTTACTTTGTTTTCCTATGTGTATATATAACTTCAATTTCACTTGCCTTTAAAAGCACATCTTCTATTTCATTGAGATAACCTCTGGATATATAAATTCATTTCAGTTATTCATGTTTGTAGTCTTGACTTTAGTTTATATATTCCTAAAGGATGTTTCTCATATATCTATGAATATATAATTTAATATTTTTGAGCAGTATATTAGATAGTCTTTTACAGGGGGAAAATTTTTACTACTTTCTCTGTTATCAGGCATCAAGTGAGACAGGAAATTATATATTCTTTGAGATTATCCAAATTTGTGTTTTTTATATAATACACACTGTCGAATATATAGGAAATAACTGGATAAAAACATTCTACAAAGTTAGATTATAGTGTGCAGAACAAAATAAATAAGGAATAAGTAAATAAGTAATTTCTTGGCTGAGGAATTTAAGAAATGAAGGGATAAATGACTGATAAAATAATTCCTTAAGTTTGCTAATTGAAAATCTATGCATCAGTCTAATGTCATTGTGGCCTGTTGGGGTTTTAACATCATCTGCAAAAATGCTGGGATTGGAATTTATTTATTCTTCCTATTAAATGTAGTGAGCTGACCTGATATACAGTTTGAAAAGATCTTCTTGTAGAAGATGGGCTGTGTGTGGGGTGGGGGAAGGAAAGCAAGAGTGGAAGATTGAGAATTTATTTATTCTTCCTATTAAATGTAGTGAGCTGACCTGATATACAGTTTGAAAAGATCTGTGCAGTGTAGAAGATGGGCTGTGTGTGGGGTGGGGGAAGGAAAGCAAGAGTGGAAGATTGATGTTGTCCAGGAGAGAGCTGCACTAGGCTGGCAGCCACAGCAAGACAGCCAGGAAGATCAGGCAGCAGCAGAGAGAAGCCCGAGTATCAAGAAACATTTTCACAGAGGAAATAAATAAATGTTGCTCGGGGAGTCCAAGTATTGATTGCACCCATTCCTTCTGCTTGCTGATCAAAAAACGTAGCAAATATTGAATTTCAAAATGCTCCGTATTTGTTTATTCTAAGATAAGCATTTGGCTCAATAGAATGTAACACTGTTTTCAAAGACTTTAACTAAATCAGGATTGATTCAGTTTATAGCCCCTTTAGAATTAATGTGCCAAAATTGCATTAAAAAAACTATGTTAAACAAACCATGTCACAGTTGACAACTTGTTCTTTCTCCCAAGGATTGCATTTATTGAATGCTAAGGAACTATAAAGTTGAATGCAAGAATTAGATTTATATAATTTGAGCTGCATATAATTAATAATCGTAATGAGGGCTGCATGAACAACATGTGACATTTTGGCCAGTGCGTTATCTCTTTGAAGCCCTGAAATAGATGATAGCTTTCAATCTTCACAATAATCTCATAAAATAGGTACCGTTCTCCCCAATTTTATAGATAGGGAAAACAGAAATTCAGTATAGCTAAAGAAGTCAGAACATGGGCCTCAAAGGAATACAGTGAATTCTGTTACATATTGTCATTTTACTTTATTTGGCACATCTGACCTCCTACCTTCACCTGTGACCACATACTGTGGCTTTTCTCTTGTTACTATGGTGAATTAACTGTTCACCTTCTGCCTAAGGCCACCTCCTCTATATGTTCACTGGTCCCCATCCCTTCCTACCCCATCCAAGACCTATGTCAAGCAGTTCTTTATTCTTAGTCATCAAAGTTTCCCTCTCAGTTCTACTGTTACCATTAACATATATTTATACTGTTAATTCTACTATTTTAAAAGACCAAGAGGAGAATCCCCCGTCTTTTCTTATTTCCTTCCTATTACTGCCTCATTTCTCTTTTTGCCTTTAGAGTGAAATTTTTGAAAGCATTATCCATTCTTGCCCTCCACCATTGCTCTTCTTTATACTGTTAATTCTACTATTTTAAAAGACCAAGAGGAGAATCCCCCGTCTTTTCTTATTCCCTTCCTATTACTGCCTCATTTCTCTTTTTGCCTTTAGAGTGAAATTTTTGGAAAGCATTATCCATTCTTGCCCTCCACCATTGCTCTTCTCCTGTTATCTCCTGAAGCCACTGATTGCATTGGGATGTTGCCCCAGCAATC